TGACAAATATTTTTATGAAGCTTTGTTCCTTTCATTTGTTCACACTTAGTATCACATAATGCATATTACTATTTTAAGAATGGTTGCCCCAAATGTACAGATTTTGTGTACACCGTTAGAATTATTACATTCAACGCTTGGATCTTCTTCTTAACCACCAGGAACTTGTTTCCATCCTTAAATTCTTTCACCCCAAAGTTTAAATATTAGACAAATATCAGAATGAAATAACTAATAATGTTTAATCAATAACTAATCTGGTCATTCGGTGTCATTAAATACACTAAACTAAAAGTCGATGTACTCTCCCATCCATAACCCATTTTCCCTTTACTCCTAATCCCAGCCAGTGTTTACGTGCAAACAGGCTGCCGTAACTTCTCCAGAAGTGCGGCGGAGAGGGAGCAGCTCCGAGGAAAGTCCCAGCCAATGTTTCCAACACTCTGTAAGTTATTGTTTAAAATTTAGGTTGCACATTTTATAAAATGTACATGACCTTTTCAGAATGTGTCTCATTGATTTTCCCCTGCAACGAAAGCATTTCTAGGGACAGCGTAAGGCCAACAATTATTATAAGTTGAACACATTATAGAACAAAGATTTACTGTGACCTGCCTGCCTTCTTAAATAACTTAATTCTTTTTCATTCTCAGAATATGAGTTTCAGTGGCATTAACCTAGTTTCTCTAAATTTGATGCAATTGACTGTCTTCAGACGTGAACCAGTGGAACTAGTTTACTTTAAGGGAGTTAATTAAGCACCATTTACTTTTAAACTGAATTCAAGTTCTCAATCTGCCATGGTGGGTTTAAACTCATTTTCCATGAGGATTATTGGTCAAGAAACTCTAAATTACAAACCTAGTGACAAAGAGCTAAATCTGGTGGGGGAAAGGAGAGTCTCGACAGCTAGCTGGGGGCTGAAGAGAGTCCTATCTCACCTATTTTAGGGAGACCCTACTTCATCTTCCACTCAGGTACTTGGTAAACCAGTGGCCAATGGGCCTATTGTCTTGAACCCACTTGGCCTGACTGGCTTATTGCCTAGTATGGTTTATTTTCCATATTCCTGTCTTAATTTATTAACTTCTATTTCAATTCTTAATAAACTTGCACGATTACATTTTAATTAGGCTGTTTGGAAAACTCTCCTTGCCATAGAAAACACGTTCAATTTTGTTAATCTTACATTAATACACTAGAAGTAGGATCAGCAAGAGGCCACATAGCCTCTCATGCCATCTGTGCCATTTAGTAAGATTGTGGCTTATCAAAACCAAAACCATTTTTTTGCCTTATTCCTAGATCCCTAAATTCCTTTAGTGTCTGATAACATTGCAGACCATGTGCCTGTGCGATTATCAAAAATCTGTCTCTTCTAATCTAATTTTCCAGCATTTTGCCTGTAGCCTTGTATGGTTTTAAATGCTCATCTCAATACTTAAATGTTCCTGCTTCTATCATCCCTTTAGATAGTAACTTCCAGATACCCATCACCCTTTGGGTGGAACAGAATTCCTCAAATCCCCATGAAAACTCATGTTCCTTACCTTAAAACTGTGCCCCCAGTTAATGACATTTGAACATCTTGGTGCATGAAGCACATAACATTAGTCTGTGGTAGAACAAATGATCAGGAAGTCAAACTGCATGTTGTTCTTTCAATGGGAATGGAGTACAAAAGTAGGGATATTTTGCTATAGATATGCATGTGTTTGTGAGACCGCATCTGAAATACTGTGTTCAGCTTTGGTCTCCTCATTTAAGAAAAGGTATAAATGCCTTGGAAGCAACCCAGAGAAGGTTTATTTGACCGATTCCTGGGAAGCGGAAGTTATCATATGAAGACAGGTTGGGCGTGCATCCATTTGAGTTTAGAAGAGTGAGCAGTGATTTTATTGAACCATTTCAGATTCTGAGGGAACTTGACAAGGTGGATGTGAAAGGATATGTCCCTTTTTTGGAAGAACTAAAACTAGGTGGCATATTTGAGAAAAAAGAAGGTTTCCATTTAAGACAGAGATGAAGATATTTTTCTCTGAGGGATTTCAATTTTCTGTTTGCATTTCTTTTCCCAGAGTGTGGTGGAGATGGTGCATTGAATAATTTTAAAACAAAAGCACATGGGATGGCCTCCTAGTCTAGTCACCTTAGAAGAGAATGTTCCTTCTGTCCTTAAGTGAGCATCAGTGAGCATCATTCTCAGGGCAGCAGTAGTAAAACCAGGAGCCATTATAGCATCTAGGTTGGCATTTCTGGGCTTCTAGAGGCCTAGGGAAAATTCCTGACTTGCAGCATCAGAAGTTGTGTCAAAGTGGCCTTTTAGTAGGGTGTCAGGACCTTCTTCAGAACCTTTGACTGCCAAAGGTGCCACCATTTCTGTGAACTCGCGGTTCATTTGCTTTGATTTGTCATGTAGTTGACACAACGTTATGATTTTGCAGATAATGAACTGAGAAGCCTGTGATCGTGCAAGATAATGTGTCCCAGGCAATGGCAGATATGATAGAATAGTTCTGAGAAAGGGTCACTGGATCCAAAAGGTTAACTCTGTTGTTTCCTTCACAGCTGCTGCCAGACCTGCTGAGCTTTTGCAGCAACTTTGTTTTTGTTCCTGATTTACAGTATCTGCAGTTCTTTTGTTTTTTATGTTGTTTTGACAGAATCCAACTTGCTCAAAGCCATAGCTTTTAGAAAATATTTTGAAAGCTTCAATATGGAAGAAGACACACTAATGTCCACGGTGCTGGATTTGTTTACTTTCAGTACTGTTGCCGCCTCCAATACTATTACTCGTACTAATTTCTTGAAGTTTCTCATTCTCTGGACTCCTGCTTGCCATTGTATCTGCAGTGTCTTTTGTTTCTTGTGCAATGAAAACAGATATGAAAAATTTGCTCAGTGTCTGGATCATTTCTTTACTTGCCCTGTAATTTTTACTCTCTAATACTACTACATTCATTGATCTCTTCCTTTCTACACATGTATAGAAACTTTCACAATCTAGTTTTATTTTCTGTTTGTTTACTCTACCTTATCTTTCTTTATTCATTTCTTGATCATTTTGTATTGCATTCTAAAATCCTCCAATACTCTGGTCCAGTACTTTTTTGGCAACATAAAAAACTTTGTCCTTTAATCTGATGTTCTATTTAACTTCTCTAATTAGCAGTGATTGCAACATTTTTATTGGTTTTTTAATTTTTATCCCTGATAGTAATGTATATTTGTTGAAACTCTAATTATTTACATATTTGCCACTGCTTAATTGCCATCATATATTTTGATGTAATTTGCCAACTCACCTGACTTGTTAACATAGATTGATTTGTTCAGGTTTTAAGTCCCTAGTTTCAGACTTAACAAAATCACTTTCATGATAAAATGTATTTCAAATTATGATCACTCTACCCTGGAGGCCTGTTCACTGCAAGGTTATAAATTATTCCTTAGTGTTCTTGTGGTGCAGTGGTTGTGTACCTACCCTTTAGAGCTAGGGGTTTATGTTCACTCCACTAAACATTAAGATATTTGAAATTAGATGCGATGGAAATGTCATAGGTAAATAAATCAAGAATTGAAAATTAAAGACTTTAAACAAGTGGGAAGGAATGGGATTAAAGGGACATGTACTTATGAATCAGGTCAGAGTCGACGGGAGGAAAAAGCCGAACGTCAGAGGGAAAATAAACATGAAGAGCTATATCCTAACTGTAGTTTTTCCTCTAGTTAAATGGCAAAGAATTATCCATGCATTCTATTTCATACAGAATTAAATTGAACGTGCAGCATAGAACTAGCTGTTCAACCTAATTGATGTGCTTACACACCACGCAAACCTCATACCATCTGACTTCATCTCACCCTATGTCCATGTCATTCCATTTCTTTTCCAACCATGTTATTATTCAACTTCCCCTTAAAGGGATCTTTACTATCGTCTTGTACCACACCATGTAGTAGCAAGTTTCACATTGAAGCCACTCTTAAGAAGTTTCTTCCACATTATTTGGTGGATTTAGTGGTGACTGTGCTATATTTATGATGTCAAGTTTTGAATTCGTCTACAAGAGGAATTTTGTTTTTATGTCTATCCTATTAAACACCTTTGTAGTTTTAAGATGTCTCTTAGGTAATTCATCAGTGCAGCACCAGCCTGTTGAGATCTTCCTGTATTATTCTTACACTTTCTCCAGTGCCTTTATCCATTTTATAATATTGAGAATTCAATTGTGCACAATATGTTTGAGTGTGATCTAACCAAGATAATACACAAGTTTAACAGAAGTCCCCTTTTTTTTTCAATTTCAGCTCTAGAACAAAACTCCTTGGCTTTGTTCAGATTTTTATGACCTTGAAAACCTATATCACTACTTTTATTGATTTGCTACTTTATCCCATTTAGTCTCTTATTTTCCAAGGAATATGCAAACTACTTGTTCATTTTACATTATAATGATTTTGATTCATCAAAGTCTCAAATCCTTAATCCTGTTCATAATTCCTTGCTGATTGTCTGCAAAGTTTGATTTCATTTCACATTGGATCTGTGGACACCTTTACAATTAGCCACACTCATTGAACATGCAAAGGTTCTGCATCTTCCAGCCCTCTTGACATAATGAGAGATGGAGGTGGGACTGCATGTTAGGACAATTGGAAAGTCACATAGGTTGGAATTTAATACACACACACCTTACTCAGACAGACACACACACTCTCTCTCTCTCTCTCTCTCTCTCTCTCTCTCTCTCTCTCTCTCTC